CAGAGTTTGGGATTAAGGTTATTATTATTGACATCATCTATTTCAGCTTTGGCATCTCTTGACTCAGAGACCACATCAAACAGGGTAACACTGGAGGTTTTATGTCCTTTTGTTGATCTAGACTTGGCTTATATATCGAAACCTTCTTTAAAAAAGAACTTATCCTAATCCAGAATATTTCTTGCTGGGTTGCCATATATCTAAGTTAATGCTTAGTTTTAACAAAGGATAGGAGAAATCTCCAGGGTGTAGCTGACCATGCTAATTTATCTAGCTTCCTTTAGGTCAGTTTCTATTCTTCAGTGGTCTTATTTCACCTTGGAAACCCAATTTGTGGCAGTAAAAGTCCAAATAATAGTTAGTATCTCACAGAGTATTCTTATGTAAATTGGTCTCAGGAAACCTCTCAGAGAAAACAAAGCTCTGTAATTATAGTAAGGAACCACTACAAAATCTCTGAGCCCTTTATCTTTCACTTTTAGTATATCTACATTTGGCTTGATAGATGGCAAGAGGTGCTGAAACCTAAAATGGCCTAGTTGTTGCCATTCTTCCTTAACATTCATTAAGCCCTGACATATCCTCTTAGCCAAGATTCTAACAATTCACCAGGTTTCTGTTCATAAATGGTTTCCATTTTCTTCCCTTTCTTATTCATTGTAGGTACAAATCTCTATAACTTTTATCTTAAAAGAGTGAATTCTTATTTTATTATCTGGATAAATTTTAGTACTGGTTATTCCATGGGGAACTTCTGAAGTGAATTTCCTGATTAGTTAGGAAGTCTTCCTATCCAGAGGAGAATTAACAACATTCAGGGCACTTTTCAGGAAGCTGAACTGTAAACCCATTAGTCTGCTTCCCACTATTCTTCCTGCATCCACTTCACAATTCCTCTTCATTATTGGAAGATAAAATGAGGGACCAATTATTGCCCAACCAGAATTTGGTCAGCATATTTATTACCAATTTCTATGGCTTCTAAGTAATTCTTCTTCCCTCAAATCTTAGGTGTGAAGCTATCATCTTTCCTCTTCTAGAAACCATGTCTCTGTCTTTTACCCATCCTCATTAGCAAAGCAGTAAAGAACTCCTAAGGTTTTGAAAATGTTCTCTACTTGTAGCCAACAAATTGGTCTTTCATGGTTTCATGAGCCCTTTAGAAAACAAAAGTCTCCTGATTCAAACAGAAAACAGTTTATCATCCACAGCAACAACAGTATTCAAAATATCAGTGTTTGTTTTGGTTCCTCAAGCCTTACTTCCCACAAGAGTGAAGTGAAAAAGGCTAGATGACAGAATGGATTGTATTCTAGAAGAACAACCCATGGGTTGTGGAGCTGAATCTTTTATTATAGGCAGTAAGTGTATTTGCTATTTTCTCCACAGGGGGAGGCATTGTCTCACCTTTCAGAATAGTAAGTAAACTTTTCCTTTGCTTTGAAAGGAGACATTATCTATCATCCAAGGTTTTTGTTTTTGTTTTTGTTTTGTATTAACATCTTTGAAAGTTTATTTAGATTAAAGGGCATTCTGTGATCTTCTTCACAAGATATGTAGAAATCCATAGTGAAAACCTTCAAGTGTCAATTTAGACTTCTCTGTACTTATTTGGTCCTGTGAGTCCCCATTTGTAAGGGCATTATCTTATAATAATGAAAGGAATATTTAGATACCAGGGAAATTGTTTAAGAGAAAGTAATTCCTAAGCTGAATCTTAAAGAAAAAAAATGGAATTGTTCAGAGGAGAGTATGTTAAATATTGTGTAAATTTTAAGGTATTTCCTAATAATACAGTACTTCCTCTGTTGTTATGGTATGACCAGAGCATTTTATTTTGAATAGCAATTTTAGCATAATAATCTTTCTTTTGTTACTCTTTAAAATTAGATTTTAGCTATTACACATAAGTTGAAAAAATAAGCAATAATATTTAGAAACTACCATCTAAATTTTACTATGCTTGCTTTGTTATTATATGCATCCATCTGTCCATCCCTTTAACTATTTAACAGTCTCTCTGCTTTTTTTATGTTTCAAAATAAGTTGAAGACTTTGATATACTTCATGACCAAACACTTCAAGATACATATCATTGATTAGAATTCAATATTTTAAGATTTCTTTATGGTGAAATGCACATATCACAATATGCATATAATTTGATGAATTTTGAGAATTATATGCCTGTATAAATAAAAATCATAACAAGATATGGAATATAAGCATCCCCTGACACTAACCTTGTGTCCTTTTGCATGCTGTTAATCCCTCTTCTCCCAAAGAAAACTACTGTATCAATTTTTGAAACCATAGATTAGCTTTTAGAACCTCATATAATTGCAATTTCACTCTTTTAGATATTTTTGAGATTCATCTACCTTGTTCTGTTATCCAGTAATGTATTTCTTTTTATACAGGAACAGTAAGCTATTGTATGGATATAATATTTTTTGTTGTTCTCTTAAAGGATACCTGTGCTATTTACAGTGTTTCACTATGAATAAAGCTGTGAATATCATTGTGGAAGTCTTATTATGTGTCACATTTTTATGCATGATTCCAGAGAGCAGAAATTTTTTAAACTGTTGTATCATGTAGGATTTATCTTATATATTCTTGCTTTACCTCTATATTCTTATTCATGTTCTAAAGGCTATACCTTACTTCATATTTCCTTAGTAGTTCACTACATACAAACATACTTATATGTTTATTTTTCTTGATTTTCCCCAGCAATTAAAAATGCTTCAATTGATTTTTTTAATTGTTTCTTTTATTTCTTTAATCCAGAATAATTTATGACATATATGAGGTGTTATGCAAGGTTTTGGGGATATGTCAAATTAGCCATAGTTTCTTATCTCAGACACTATCTAGAATATTGTGGGAAGACATATCACCATGCACACAGAGAATCTTCCAGTATGGCAAGAATAAAGAGTAGGATCTATTGGAGCACAGGGGAGAGGGAGTGTAGTAGCGGAGGTAGTAACAAGGTAAGGAGAATCTTTTGGGACAAGTTGGCTTTTGAATAGGCTTTTCAATTTAGAGTTTAAAAAGACCACCCTGTGTGGCATCCTTTTGTGCATGAACAAACAGAGACCTAGAGGGGCTCACTTATTTGTACAAAGGAACTAGATGGGGATTAGAACATCTCACATCTCTGGAGTTCAATCTAGTATTTTTCCTAATGTGAAGTGGTGTTTCAATACATTGCTGTAACCACGGATTGACAATCCACCATGTATGATGCCTTGGTCTTGCCTTACAAATTTAAAAAAAAAAAAAATGAAGAAGTTCCCACTATTAGAAAGTTAACTCCATTAGTGCCACTGCCTAATTATACACACATGCACACACCCACACGTTTATGTGTTTATGTATATATCCTACCATATCAGCAATAGGAGTAAAATCCTGTGTAAACACAGAGGATATGACTCAAGTCCTATGATCCAAACATGACTTGATAAAGGGTTTTCAAGTGTTTTACTTGATAAATAACCTTGTATAACCATATCTGATACTCTAAAGTGCTTTTCTTTGATATGCCCTATCTCTCTGAAGGTAGATATTTTGTTATATTCATTTTTATATCCCCAACGTCTAATTTTATCCCACACTGCAATGCAAGCTTAATACATATTCCAATCGTCAGTAGTCATTTTACACAATTGTCAAGGCTGATAAATACTAGACTCCAGGCAAGTTTTTAGAGAACCTGTCAGCAAAAGCACTGAGGATCTCTGTAGTCTACTCTCCCAGTGGTCTGTCCTCTCAGCAAAGCCAGGGAAGGAGCAATATGTTGGAATTTATCCTCTGATTTTCTTTTACAATCCTGTCCCTGTAACCCTAAAGCTCTTGGACTTCTCTCCCCAAGTAAAAGCAAACACAAAAGCAGACACCCTTCCTGACAGCTATTCAGTGTCTACTTCCTGTCATTTTCTTATTTTTATGCTTCCACTTTAGACACACATTTATTTTCACCTAGGACTTGTTGACTTCCTGTTTTGTTTTACTTTAAAAGTAATCCTAGTTCTCTTGTCTTCCCATTTCAGAAGTCTTCAGAAAACATTCTCTGTTTTAATAATTAAGATTGGGAGAAATTTCACCTTCTTTATCTCTTTTTACCCATTAAAGGAAAAGAATTTAATAGGCTACCTTTGAATGTATTACATGGCACCGTCAATGATATATTTAAATTAAAACTTTGAAGCATTATCTAATATGACTTGTTTAATATCTTTAGTAGACATGTACTCAGAAGATTTTTTTTTTAAACATGTCTGTGTGCTGGGTGTGGTTGTGTATGCCTATAATCCCAGGGATTTGGGAGGCGGATGCAGGAGGATTGAAAGTTCGAAGACAGGCTAATCAACTGAATGAGACCCTGTTTCAAAATTAAAAACAAACAAAAAAAAATTATTAACAGAGGACTAGTTATGAGGTTCAGTGGTAGAATGCTCTTGAGTTTAATCCCCAGTACTGCAAACAGACAACAACCTCCCCACTCCCAAAACCAAACAATAAAAAATGTCAGTGAACTCAAATGATCTTCTGCCTCCTTATTTATTTTCTGCTGTCCTTTTTATTTTTTTAGCCTCTGTTATCCTGAGATTATTTAGTGTCTGTCAGTTCTATTTTGCCCACAATTAGTCTGGCAAGGTCATTGATTTCAGCATCAAGGTCAGGCGTGCCCTTAGGAAGGCTCTCAGTGTTTTTTAACAGGAATTACAGCTGCATCTTTTGATATCTATTGCAATCATGTGTTTGCTTCTATTTTGGATGTGTCTGTCTTATCTCTTGGGCATCAAAAGCACCCTTCAGGGTAGACATGCTATTTGTTTTATGTCTGCCACCTTATCTTAGATGTAAAATCCTAATTACAAATGGCAGGTACATAGATTCAGATGATTTTTTGAAACTTTCCTTCTGGAAAAGATCCCAAAATTTTACTGGAATTTCAATACATTTATTTTGTTAATTTTTTTCCCTAGGAAAAAGAAGACCATTTTGAATCTGTTCAATTGAAATCCTCAAGATCACCCAATATATGAAGAGACAGTGCTGTAGCCTTCAGACTAATGAACAAAGAAACCGGCTCTGTGGGTTTACAGGACCCTATGTTAGGGTGTGTCTTCACACCTGTCATGTTGGTTGTCTCACAGAGGAAAGCCTTGGCACTGAAATGAGAAAGAGGTTGAAACGTTTGATTGCCTTATCACATGGTCAAGTACCTTGCCAAACAAAGGAAAGCAAATGATTTGGGTCTCAACTGAAGATGAAACTTAACTCAGGAAGAGATTTATCTGTATATACACATAACTGAAAACCAAGTTTAAGCCCACCAGTGCACTACTGATGCATGCCATATAATTATTGGGTAATTTTTATTCTTTATAATGTCTACATAAAAAGTGTGCTTTGGAGGGCAGATGTGAGCATAAGCCTTGTGATCTTGTTTATGTCTTGTCTTTGTTTATGTTTGGGGGAAGATTTGAAAAAAATTTAAAGGTATAATTATTTTTCCCATTATTTATTTTCTCAACAGACCTTAAACATCTTTTCTATTAAAAAATGGTGAGCAATGAAAGACAATAAATTTTTCTTTTTACATAGGGCATTTTTACTTGGTTTCCAAAGCTTATGTTATCAGTAATATTTTAGAAAGAATTAGCATGTATTTGGGTTATTTAAACCTATAATTGCCTTTGAAATTCCATCCTTGTTGGAATTGGTAAGAAGAGCTTGAGTGGAAGTTTGAAGGAATATTAAAAAAAAAAAAAAACAGCTGGGGGTAAGAAAGCTTTGACTTTCCATTAATGCAAATAAGCAGGTATTATCATAAAAGTCAAATGGTTTAAAACAGTTTGTTGGTGCCTGAAGAATAAATAAGTGGGAAAACTTGTTATTAAATTAGTTGCACAATCATGAAGAAGAAAGGGCTTCTTCTTCTTAAGTCCAAATAACGGTACAGAGGTATTGGGATAATTTCACAGTCTCCAGAAAATGTTAGTGGGACATTTCCTTCATGTAAAAGCACCAGCAGTTTGATTATTTTTCTGCTGCAAGACTTTGAGGATTATGACTTTTTGGAAGCATCTTATCCCCACCCCCACCCCCCGCTAAGCCAATAGACAGGAATTCAATTTTGGAAACGCATATATTGTATTCATGATAAGAATGTGATTGTACTATAAACAGTTATGAAATAAGTAGTGTTCTTATTCAAAACTGATCCAGAAATTTGTGATATTTATTATGATGGATTACTAGTCTTAGCACAACTTGGACATTATTTGTTGAAAGAAGTTTGAAGATAGATTTAACCAATTTTGTGTAAACTTTGTTTGGGAACTGAGAAACAAGGGGGTTCACTGGCAATTGATGATCTAAGGTGCTCTGGTTTGTTTCCAATAAACAGTTATCTTTACAGACCTTAATCCAGATTTTTAAAAAAGATCCGTGTTGGCTAAAGGAGGCAGGGCATAGGTATAAGGTTTTGTCCCAGACATTTCTTCAATGAAGTATGAGTTGTAACACTTGATATTGCAGACAGTCTCGGCATCTTTGCGAAAAAATGGGAGAAAATGAATAATTGTGTATTTGACTGGTGGATAAAACACTAGACCATTTGCTTTCATTAAATGAATTTTTTGTTTTGTGTACAGCTCTGCTGTTGTGTATAGGTGTAGAGGAAGTCGCCATTGTTTTATTGTTCATTGTGGGATTCAAGAGGGTGTCACAGTGCATAAAACTTTTTCACTTAATTTCTTGAGTCTTTATATAAAGAAGAAATCATTTTGGCATTACTCATTTTTATCCCACTAACAGACTATTGGTATGCCTTCCCCCATCTTGACAAAATTTAACCAGAAGAATGAAAATACACTTGAAATGCACCCTTTCAGAGGAACCCTGATAAAGTTGTACAGACTGGACAGACTCAGAAAGTTTCCGCAGTCACCAGTCACCTCTCTCTTCATCTTCTGCTGTGCTCAACATGTATGTTTCAAGCCATAGAGATAATTGGGATTTGCTCCCAGGTAGCTTCTTTCTTCTCTTGTCACTGGACTAAAATCTCTGACATGTCAAAAATGCCTTAAATTTTTAATGAACTCTCTGAAAATGTAGTTGATATTAAAGAATTTATTTATTTTATTTCTAATTTTAGATACTAAATAGATTTTGTCAGCTCAGTCCCAACTTTGGAAAGAGCTGCCTATTTCCTTTGGATTCCAGTGGCTTGTCATTTTATTTGAAGAGCTGAAGAAATATGACAGAATATTATGAGAAAAATATTCAGACCAATTCTGGTTATAAAATTCACTTTATAGCTGGCCTTTGCAAAGCTCAGTGAAATGTTGAAAGGCATAAACAAATTAATTATGTTTTTGTGACTTAATTGACATTTGTTGTTCCTTTCCCCCTAAGTGGTAGAAAAAGATGTTATTTGTTATTTTCCAAAAGGCCCAGTTTTGAGGCCTTAAATACTTCATTAAATCAACTGTCGCCTATAACATCTCTTAGCACTCTGTGAAAACTATTTAAATCAATTTTACACTGGATGAGAACATGTCTTCTATGGATAAATTATATCATGCCATTTAATGATGTTGAGCAATTTGATATGTGTTCATTTGATTTAAAAGACTGACTTTTATTATTATTGATTTCCCCCCCTTTGGTTACTAATAATCAAATCCTTCCTAGGATTAAAAATATTTCATATTATTTTCGTGTAGACCTTTGTCATTATTTTCTTCCCAAGGAAAAAAGGTGGCTTATCGGTTATGGTGGAAAAATTGCTTGGGTCATCATTTACCATCTGGGATCTCTGGGTCCTCAGGTGGTAGGTCATGCTCAACTGTGCTTCTTCAAGACCCATTTGGTTAACTATCATTTGATGTCTATTGATAGAACTTTGCACAGCTCATAGTTGTTCTTTAATAGGAGGCTAATGTATAGATAGATCATTTCTCTTTTCCTCATGAAAGTAAATTTCCTGGGAGGTAGGATGAAAATGTGACTCAATTATCCAGTTTCAAGTCAATGTATTGTTTATATTTATCTTTTTACATTAATGACATGTAGAAGAGATTTTCAAAGAACCTAAAATCCTTCATCTTTATTTTAGATAAGTCATGAATAGTATCCCATATTTATAGACCCAAGTCTAAATTAAGGCTGCCTTAAATAAGAGTTCCTAAGGATAAGATGGGGGTAGACTTTCAAAAATCTCAACACGAGAATCATTCTTTGGAAGCTAAATCAGAGTTCACCCTCATAGTACTGGCTTGAGATTATGCTCTTGTTAGATTTTATTTCTTTTGGTTTATCATTTTTTAAAAAATATTTTTTAGTTGCCAGTAGATCTTCTTTCCATTTATTTATTTATTTGTGGTACTGAGGATTGAACCCAGGGTCTCACACATGCCAGGCAAGTGCTCTACAACTGAGCCACAACTCCAGCCCCCTTGGTTTATCATTTTTAGGTGAGCTCATTTTAGGATAATAAATAAAAGAAGTAAAACTTTAAAGTGGGAATGAATTATTGATTGATATTACTATTGCCATTGTCTAGATCAGAAGACAGCAAATTTTTTTAAGGGTTTACACAGTACATATTTTTGGCTTTGCAGGACATGTGGTCATGTTGCAATTACTTAGCTCTACTATTGGAACATGAAAGCAGCCACAGACCCACAAACAGTATGTAAACATAGGGGTGTAATTGTACCCCAGTGAAACTTCACTCATGAATGCTAAAATTTGAGTTTCTGTTAAATGTCTTGGAATTCAATTTTTATATTTTTCTGATTATATAAAAATGTAGATGCATTCTTATCTCACAGGCTTTATAAAAACAGGTTGTGGACTGACTTTGGTCTATGGACTAGGGTTCACTAATCCCTCATTTAGATTACATCAAACCAGTATAAGCAAAACTGATCTGAAGACTCTGTTTGCACACAGGTTCTTTTCCCTTTGTTGGAGCTTACCACCTAAATTTTGTCAAGTCTCCTGAGATGTTCATGAAGAAAATGACCCATCACCTGCTCTTACTGATTCAGTCACCTTCCAAAGTGAGATCATCTCCTGAATTCCTCTTGCAGTTCTGGGCTCCATTATGAATATTAATTGGCAAATGATTGAACTAAAGCAAGAGAATGAGTTTTAAGAAAATTAGAAAAGTTGATTTTTAAGCCTTCTCTCAATGAGGTTAATATGACATTTACTGCTCAGGTAATTGGTTTTAGAGGTAATATTCAGTCCTTTATATAGATTCATTTAAAATAACTATGTGGAAATAGGGGATATTGGTGCATAAAAACAGCTCCAGCATAGATTCTTGAGACCTGGCACTGGAGAGTGTTCCCTGGTTTATTTACATTCATTCAGGCAGGGTACACCTTCATCCCCAGTTCTATTTTAAGACATATAGAGCTGCAAAAGGCATTCAGGATTTCTTTAATGATTGGTGACTCAAGAAACTGATTTCAAGTTTTCCTGAACAAAATGTTCCATTAAGGCTTTTAATTGATAGAATTTTCTTCATCTTATTAATAACTCATAGAAGGAAAGTTCTGTCTAAAAGAGCTTATGGGTTTTGGCATATTTGGATTGAAGGGGGAAATTTTGTTTTTTAGCTGAGACAACTGATTTCAAGGACTATTGATTGCCTTTCAAATAAGAGTTAAACCAGTGAGAATTATGCAAATCAAAATCTTCTGTCAGAGAGCAGGATGGATAACTGCCTTATCTGTGGGTTTAGCCCTTTGTCTTTAGAGCTCTGGTTATAATCCTGCTTCCCAGCTTTTCACTTTCATAGCTTCTCCAAGTTCACAAACCTTCTTTGCAAAGCTCTTGGCCTTGAAATTCACAGAGGGCAGATGGATACAGCAGGAACCAGCAGAAAGAAGATGTGTAGTCAAAGGCGGAGAAAGTCCACTGGCTGAATTACCTCCTTTCTCACCATTCTTTAAACTGTTCTGTGTGTGGTCTAAGAAGCATCTTGCCTCACAGTTCAAAAATAGGTACTGGTTTATTTTATCATGATAAACTTTGCTATGGTCAGGAAAATCTATTCTTATTGAAACTAGAGTTACATGGAACACCTCAGAATCTGCAAACACTCAGAAAATCATGGCTAATCAAACACATAGTTTGGTTCTGATTTTTTTTAAATGAATGGAACATATCATTTGGCTTAGGTTTTCTAAATTTAGGAAGTTTTTCAAAGATGGATTGTCTCAATCAGTTTTATATTACAGAAGGACAAAATGTTTCTGATGTAGAGAAAAAAAAAACACCAAATATATTTGCTTTCATGGCTTGTGTTTAAAAAAAAAAAAGATTTTATAGCAGTTATTTTCCACATATATTTGTGGAATTAAAAAAATATTTCTAGGCATCACATGTTATGTGATGCACTTCAAATCTGAAACAAGTCATGTAGCAAGGCAGGAGAAAATGACAGGAGCTGTCAGTTAATGTCTTTTCAGTGTACTGGCAGGGCATGAAATATAGTGAGCATAGATAAAAACCCAGACCTCAAAACCATAGTTTTCTCATGATTTGTACACAAGCTAGATTGTCTTGTTTTAAAAGGTCGGTGATCACTTTGATTGTTTGAGGCATCAGCTGCATCTCTGCACAAGCCATCTGATATTGTCTTCCGCAGACTGTCACATTCCATCAGTGGATTCAGTTTATTTTCTCTCCCATCAGCCTTACCTCAGTTTTATCCTGAACAGATGCTCATTCTGAGTGCACTTATCTGGCACTCCTGCTAGTTTCAGTCACAGAAGAATTCATTTTTGTCATTTAATGGTTTTGAATGTCTTACTCAATCTACCACAATTACTCCCCAAATTCCAGGTTCCTGTTTGAATCTGAGAATTCAGGGACTAGTGAACACTATTGTTTCAAGTATCTGTGAGCTTTGGGTTGATTGATTAGGTTGCTGATTCAAATGCATTCAGAAGGAAGAGAATTTCTAACTTCTGAATACTTTATTTCCTTCAAGGCCAGTCCTGTTGTCTTTTATACACATGTTCATAATTTCTGGATGTTTTAAAAATACTGTCAGTGTCTTGCTTATTTCAAGCCTTGACTATTTAGCTTGAGGGTCCCTCATATCCTTGATTCTACTCTGCTTTCTTCTCACTATCTTCCTTGGACACAGGTAACCTCATTAAAATATTTTCTAGTCATTATGCTTCTTAAATGTGGAGACTGCATCTTACTCATCTTTCTTCCTTTTGTGCACCAAATAGTGGCCTTAAAAAAATATGTCCAGACCCTATTCCCTGGAACCTAAGAGTATTACTTTATTCAGATAAAGGACCTTATGTAGATATAATTAAGGATGTCAAGATGAAACAATCTTGGATAATCTCAGTGGGCCCTAAATCCAATGGCAAGTGTGCTTTCAAGAGACATAGAAGACAAGACAGGCACAGAGGAGAATGTGATGTGAAGATGGAGGCAGAAATTGAATGATGTGGCCATAAGCCAAGGAACCTGGCAACCTCTAAACACTAGAAATGGCGTGGAATGAATGAATTCTTTGGAGTCTCTGAAGGAGCATGCCCTCCTGACACTTTGATTTCAGACCTCTAGCTTCCACAACTGTGAGAGAATAAAATTTGTATTATTTTTAAGCCACATAGTTTGTGGTGATTTCTTATATCAGCCACAGGAAACTAACATCTTCTCTATCCATGGCACCTGGTGCAGGATCTGGCAGATAGTTATGTTGTCAGTAAATGTTCCTACATTAATTAGTGATTTGGGACTACAAGGTTGACAGAAATAGGACAGTATTAGGAAAGAATAAGCCAGTTTTAGCTTACCCATACTTTTCCTGTTCACTCCTTTATTTAGGTAAATACAATGTTCAAGTTTAGTGACAAGCCTGTGTGCCTGAGCATTGTTCCTTGGACTTTGGAGAAACATTGGGAAATACAGATACCCTGTATTTCTATTGCTTCATTCCGCTATGAATAGTAAGAGTGATTTTCCATGAAAGGACAAGATGCTTTCCAGTCTCTTTCCTAGTAATGAAGTTTGTGTTTGGACATGAGTCATTAGATTTTTCTGGCAGTCCGGTTTCTATATTAGGATTTAAGAATTTTTTCTTTGCCTAAGAGCTCTATTTGAGCAATTCTGGGCTCTCTTATGGATATGGCTTTAAAAAGAGAAAAAACTAATATGTATGGAATCATCACTTTAGTGGCCAGGTACATATGGTATCACTTCTGATCATTGTTTTCTGTAGAGAAATCCAAATCTGTTCACAACTTTCTAGCAGGGTAATAACTTGAGTTCAAAGTATGCATGGATGTAAAGAAAAGCAGGTAATTTGTTCCAACATTAAAAGTAAAAATGACCTAAAATACATACATTCAAATTATGTTAAGTGATTGAGAAAGGACAAACCATTATCCACCATGCTGGAAAACCTTGAAGGTTTTATTCCCAATAACTTTACATTAATACAGATGCTTTTTATTTTGTGCTCAGAAAAACAATCTGTTACACGTAATGTAACTTTAATATACAACATAGAAACTCATCCTAAATTAGTTACAACAAGAACCTACAAAAAACTTCATAGGAAAAAAGTTACCTAATATTGCCACCGTATTTTTTTTTTTTTTAGTAGACTGACTGACCCTGTCAGACCCTGTCACCAATGCTCAGCTCTGTAAACAATGGTTATTTTCATGTTCTGGGGAATTGTTAATAATAGGGGCACTAAAATCATCCTAGAAAGTTCTAGCACATCACTATATACTGTACAGTCCTCAAAAATAATTTATTGTACTGTTTCTAAAAAAAGGTACTAGAATTGTTCTTTTGCTCTGTTTCCATTCTGGAGCTGCACATGAGCACATTTGTCTAACAGTCTAAAAACACAATAACTGAACTGCAAATCACAATCACAGAGACGAGGTGGTGGAGTCTAGGACTTCCCGCCCATTGCACACCGTCGGGACATACGTGCTTGCAGAGGCTGCAAAACAAAGTGGGACAGAAAACTCGGTTAAGTAGGTCACATAGGCAATGCATGGATTATCACAGACACTACATTAAAATTAAGTTAAAACTCATTTTAACTTGGCTTTGGCTTAATGCTGTAGTAGGTCAACTTGCAAATATGTTCTGTTTAAAATGAGTTTGTATCTTGGAACATACCTTCACACAGCATACCTCCTGTAGAGAGAATCTATAAGCATAATCATTGCTGAAAGAAGTTTTGTGTGTTGAAAATTAACTTTGATAATCTATAAACTGGTGGAAATACAATGCACAAAATCAAAAGATTCAATCAATTTTCTTATAGTTTGTTATTTACTATTTTCAAAATCTTTAACTAGTTTTGTTATCTCTGGTAAGGGGTGACTCTTGCAGGGCCCCATGAGTCATCTGTAATCACACTGCCTTAGGGGAGGGGTGATATATTTTCATTGCTCGTTTTGCATTTTTTAAATAAGAAATCTAAGTACAGAAAAGTTTTACCTATTTCACCCTTTGTGCTTTTCCTTTTCACTGAATGAGGACAAAAACAAGTATCCTCCTTCCCCATGGGAGGAAACCATATTGCCAATAGAGTAGTTTAGAGAAATGGCCCTACCCTACCTTTGAGGTCTCTGTATGTCCAGTTCATTGGTTTGTCTGTTTGTACATACCCTGAACAGCAGGGGCTGGTCCTGCAGGCCATCTGACGACAGCCCAGATCAAATTGACCAGTCATCTGTCCCATCCTTTAAGGATATATGAACTAATATCATGCTAAAGTGTTCATGTCTGATAGTGGATATGTTCTTGCCCTGGAAAATTGCATTTCACATAGAAATTTCTTTAAACATAAAGGAGTAACTGTGAACTTTGGGATATGTGGCATTCTGTGGGATCATGTTTATCATATGTGGGGCCCTGAAATCTTTTGGCCAGTCCACCACTAGAAAAACTAAAGTCTCTCAATTTTGCATTGATAACTTGGGTAGGTATATGAGAAAACCTCTAAAGTCAAGTCTGTGTGGTTGCCTAAATTCATAGTGGAGTCATGTGGCATACTAAATCTTAGAGATATTTTTCCTTTTATTATTGTTAGGACAAGGTTCAATTTTCATTACGATATGAGTCCATTACAGCTATATATCTTTCAGGATAGGGATTGCACAACCTACATCTCCTGAAGCTTCTACAATGAAGATATTTTTAACAGAGTGTATACCAGACAAATGCTTGATGGGCAGTGATTGTAATTCAAAATGTAAGGGCCTTATTTTATTATTTGCAAAGTATTTTCATATTCTTTATTTCCAGCAATAAAGCTAGAGAAGGTAAGAGAAAGCATGAGGCAAACTTTAAAACCCAGGTCCCTGGAAACTTAGGGGAGTACTCCAGATCATTGAAAATGTGCTCCTTCTGGAGCCCCCTTGTATCTAACCACCTGCTTGACATCTTCATGTGTATATTTCATGAAAATTTCAAAATCAGTGTCCAAAGAAGAACTCTTGATTCTGTAACCTGTCCCTATTTAGCCTTCCTGTCTTCAGTAAATGGTCTCACCATCTTACCCAGACCAAATGTCTAAAATTTATGGTTTTTTTTCATTGTACATCCCACATCAAACCTATTACAAGATCCTATCAACTCTATTTGAACACCTGACTATTTTTCTCTCTGCACCCACTACCCTTGTCAAGAAAAAACAGAAAGGCCCACCCATCCCCAAACCATGCTGCTCAGAGACCTCACATATGTAGCCCATTGTTTGAAACCACCATTGTCTGTCATCTGAGTATGGCAGTAACTGTATCACTGACATTCCTGTTTTTTTCTCTTGTCTCCTGGTGATATGTTTTCTACAGAGCAGTGAGAATATAGTTAGCCCTCTATATCCTTTGTTCTGCATTCTTTGATTCAACCAACTATAGATTGAAAATATTCTGGAAAAAATATTTTTGTTCATGTTCAGATTTTTTGGCATTCCCTAAAGAGTACAATATAACAATTATTTATACAGCATTTATATTGTATTAGTAATTATAAGTAATTTAGAGGTAATATAATGTATACTGGAGGATGTACATATGTTATGTGCAAATATTATGCCTTTTTATATGAACAACTTGAGCATCCATGGCTTTGTATACTTGTGGACTCCTGATACCAATCCCCCTTGATACTGGGGAATGACTGTATTTTTAAACACAAGCCCCCTACCTACACACCTCCAAGGGCTTTTTTTTTTTTTTTTTTTTTGTACGTTAACTCCCTACTCTGGCTTATAAATACCAGTACGATTTGGTCTATGCCTCTCTGTCTGTGTTCACCTCATTCCACATGTTTTCTCTGCCTTTTTGTTTTTGTTTTCCAGCACAGCAAATCTGTTTCTCAACTTTGTGCCTTTGCAGTAACTGTTGCCTCTGCCAGGAACATTCCTCTCTGATGATCTTGTCTGGCTCCTTCTTGTCATTCGCATCTGACATATCACCTCCCCAGAAAGGCTGTTATCAGGTCACCTAATCTACAGCATCCAGTTACTCTGTCACATCAACTGGTTTTAAAACAGGCTAGCCCCATTGTTCTTACCTGTTTTTTTCTATGATTATTATTTCTCTTTGTTGCTGTTATTATTATTATCTATACTTTTGACCAGAAAATATATGGGAACTTTGCTTGTCTGTTTCATCATTTATTTATCTCTGATGAGGACCATGAATAGCCTCTATAAAAAGTTCCTGAATGATCATATAACTGTTTGCATTTATATGCAAAGAATGAGACAACGAATGAAAATTTTAAGAAGGCAATTGGCTACACATGTGAGGCCTCTGAGAAACCTTGTTTGGAGACAGGTGGGCCTTTCTGTTTCTCAAACCACACTGTGCTAATAACCATCATCTACCCTTGCAAAGAGAACTGGCTCAGGCTGTGAGCTCTCTGTAGCAAGCATGCTGCCTTTGACATTTTGACTAATCCCTTTATCTTTCCCAGGATCAAGTTTTATTATTTCTGTACAGGATTTTCATTTTTCAAGATTGAAGAGGAATGATGTGTCATGAGGGTAAGTCAAGGAGAGCAAAGGACTGGTGTACAAATGCCCCTCTCTACCCTGGACTTGCCTAATACCCCGCCCCCCCCACGCCCACATTTATTGAGGTTGTATCAGAAACCTACTTTGAACTCCCAATGAAACTTGATGTGACTTTTTTTTGAAGTCAGTTTGTTTAGTGCCTCTAATTACTTAATCATCAGATGTGTTTTGACTAGGTAGGAAATACAGGGGCTGCAAAAGCTAGTAGCTGCATGGTTGAAAATACTCTTCTATTATACACCCCATGGACATCATTTGGAGTTTATAGAAGAATTTTGAGTACTCATCCTGCTCTATAGGGACAGTAAAAGGAATGCCTGAAGCCAGAATATTTATACTCTTTGTGAGGAAGATAATACAAATTCTTATAAGAAATAACACCAGCAAAAACATCCACAAGACATCTCCTGCAGATATTTTTCCCCTAAATTCTTTATAGCCTCTTGAAGGAAACTCTGCCTTGTATTTTTCTGCTTCTCCTTTACTGTTTCATCTGTAGCTTTTGCAGTACATTTTATTATGTAAGAAAAAATTCTCATTTTTGCACATGGTGCTGAATATAGTAGAGGAATTATTGTTTTATGAGTTTACTATCTCAATTACTTTGCCTTTCATAAATATTTTACATGTGCCTCCCATATTAGCTCATCTGTTATTCCCCAAGGTAGTAAAATATGTGGAAGAACAGAGTATTATCATTTTTGTGTGTGTTTGTGATGAGCTTTTGCTATTGTTCTGATGAAATTCTCAGGAGATTTTTAATGGTGTAACTTTAGCCCATTTTCTTAAGTGTGGTTAAGCAGATTTCTGTAATCATCCTGCCAGAAATAAGAGGCTAGCAGGCCTATTTTTGGCTTTTCTGGGACTTGGGGTGAGCAACAGCTGTTAGTTACTGTAGGCTAAGGTGGTGCTTTTTGCCATTCAAAGAGAAAACTGAAGGCAGCTGAAAAAGACCTCATAAGCTTCACTATTGATCACAAAAGGGCAATTTATACCCATCAAAAGGCATAATTTGCTTCACAAACTTGGTGAAACATTGGAGATCAATGCAGCCAAGTGGCAGCTTTATCTCGCTCTGTGAAATCCACTCGTAACGCATGGGCTGGCTGGGCTTTGTGGAAAAGGACGACTTTTTTCAGGTAACTGGTCCCCCAATCAATGCTAAACATATTTACTTAATAGATTCTTATGGATACCAAGTCTGTTAGTCAATTCAGTGACTGGGACCGGTTCCTGAGAATTAATGTCTTACTATAACTCTGTAGTACATCACAGTCAGAAGAAAACAAAACAAATATTTCAACAGAACAGACATTCCAGTTTGTCCCCATCTGTTCTGTTTCCTTGTTCCCTGTGACCCCAAATAATTTTTCCCAGGATAACTGCTTGTTTAGATGTTGTAATGTTATGGTCATGGAATCTACTTTCCATCAGCCATTGGTTGCCTTGTCTTCTGCTTTGTTATTGAGTCTGTTTTCTTATTGGTCACCTTTAGTTTACTTGACCTGTTCCAGAAGAAGTTCATCTGCTGATGATCACATGTTGTCTGGGAAGATGAGGACGCCATTAGCTACAGGGTGGTTTGTCTTATCTTATCAGAGATTTCACAGTGGAAGATAGAGAAGGCACTATTAAGAATCACAGACTGATATCTCAGGAAGTGTTTCCTCTTTATGATCTAAGTAATGGTCTTGAACTATTAACAGCAGGTTAAAATGAAATCATTATGCTGTGGGGTAAAAATTTACAAACCCAAGATTTAGTTTCCAAATGTGGAGTTGGAACTGTATGAAAGCAAAGACTTCTTTCTTCATCCCAGGATTCTTGTCTTATAAGATTCACAGAAAGAGACAATATGTTGTATACCGTTTTTAGGATCCACAATTCAATTTAATTACCACATCAGC